ATTTTTTTTTAACACTACAAGAATTCTATCAAAGTGGCTATTGGGTAGCTCCAGTCTGTATATGATAACAGTGCTGTATTTTCTGGTCCGGTCTCACCGCTGTAAAAGATAGAGCATGGCACCTGGAATTGTCTATTTTGGAACACTACAAGAATTCTATCAAAGTGGCTATTGGGTAGCTCCAGTCTGTATATGATAACAGTGCTGTATTTTCTGGTGCGGTCTCACTGCTGTAAAAAGATAGATTATGGCACCTGGAATCGTCTATTTTTTGGGACGCTACAAGAATTCTATCAAAGTGGCTATTGGGTAGCTCCAGTCTGTATATGATAACAGTGCTGTATTTTCTGGTCCGGTCTCACCGCTGTAAAGATAGATTATGGCACCTGGAATTGTCTATTTTTTGGAACACTACAAGAATTCTATCAAAGTGGCTATTGGGTAGCTCTAGTCTGTATATGATAACAGTGCTGTATTTTCTGGTCCGGTCTCACCGCTGTAAAGATAGAGCATGGCACCTGGAATTGTCTATTTTTTGGAACACTACAAGAATTCTATCAAAGTGGCTATTAGGTGGCTCCAGTCTGTATATGATAACAGTGCTGTATTTTCTGGTCCGGTCTCACCGCTGTAAAAGATAGAGCATGGCACCTGGAATCGTCTATTTTTTGGAACACTACAAGAATTCTATGAAAGTGGCTATTGGGTAGCTCCAGTCTGTATATGATAACAGTGCTGTATTTTCTGGTCCGGTCTCACCGCTCTAAATATAGAGCATGGCACCTGGAATCGTCTATTTTTTGGGACGCTACAAGAATTCTATCAAAGTGGCTAGTAGGCAGGTCCTGTCTGTATATGATAACAGTGCTGTATTTTCTGGTCCGGTCTCACCGCTGTAAAGATAGAGCATAGCACCTGGAATCGTCTATTTTTTGGAACACTACAAGAATTCTATCAAAGTGGCTATTGGGTAGCTCCAGTCTGTATATGATAACAGTGCTGTATTTTCTGGTCCGGTCTCACCGCTGTAAATATAGAGCATAGCACCTGGAATCGTCTATTTTTTGGAACACTACAAGAATTCTATCAGAGTGGCTATTGGGTAGCTCCAGTCTCTATATGATATCAATGCTGTATTTTCTGGTCCGGTCTCACTGCTGTAAACATAGAGCATGGCACCTGGAATTGTCTATTTTTTGGAACACTACAAGAATTCTATCAAAGTGGCTATTGGGTAGCTCCAGTCTGTATATGATAACAGTGCTGTATTTTCTGGTCCGGTCTCACCGCTGTAAAGATAGAGCATGGCACCTGGAATCGTCTATTTTTCGAACATTTAAGAAACCGACTTATTTCCCAGAATCTTCAGAAAATCAAAACGACTCAAATATATTCGCTAAATGTTCAATTATTTTTTTATCAGCCCCATAACCTTTAACTAAACCAGGAAGAGAAGTAGATAGCACGGCCACCGACCGCACCCAAGGGGTCCGTCGACTCAATTTCACTCACACGGCCTGGGTCTACCCGTGGTATGGTTTTCAAGCACTTTCTATAAGTGTCACACGCTTGTGTCGCCTCTTTCACGCCGATAACATCAAGAATTGATAGAATTCTTGTAGTGTTCCAAAAAATAGACGATTCCAGCACGAAATCACAAGTCATCGTGACCGAGAGTTTGAGCCTGTTGGCGTTGTTCAGACTGCTGATCAACCTTTTTTCCTCTATCACTTTATCCCATCTTCTATTTAAATAAGTTAAAAAAAAAGTAAAAAAGAGAATGATAAAATTATTGTTAGTAACGCTTTGGAAAGCATAGACGGTAGTCTGGAGCAACTAAACATCTTACGTCCTGGGTAAAACGATAAACTACATCCGCATCTTGGGTAAGACGATAAACTACATCCGACAGCAAGGTCTTTGATCAGGATGTTCTGAGAAGCTTGGAACCACCTCTTAATTGCTGGTGTTTCCAGATCCACCCTGACCCGGGGTGATAACACCTGTTAGGGTCCTAGCTATGGGCAAATATTTAACCCCCATAAGGGCTCAAAAGACTATAAAAGTATTAAAAAAAAAAGTTTTAATACCAGCAAAACGTTTTGGGAAAAACTATTGCCATTTAGGAAGAAAAAAAAATTCTCTGTAATACATTATTACCAACAGTACATTCTGTAAAAAGAAAAACATTACCAGCAATACATTTTTTGCAAAAAAAATATTACCAGCAATATATTTTGGAAAAAAGAATTACCAGTATTACATTTTTGGGAAAAAATATTAACAACAATCCATTTAAAAAAAAATATTACCAGCAATAAATTTTTTGAAAAAATATTGCCACCAATACTTTTAAAAAAATATTACCAGCAATAAATTTTGGAAAAAATATTACCAGTAATGCATGTTGGGGAAAAAATAACACTATAACAAAACATTTTTGAAAAAAAATACTACCAACTATACATTTTTGAAAAAAAAAAATATTAGCAACAATAGAAATTTTGCAGGCATTAAATAACACAATAACATTGAAGTTGATAAGCTGTAAAACAAAACAAACCAAACTAAACTAAACAATTTATAAACTTAAACAATGGAAAAGATTAGCAATATAGCAAGGGGGTAATTAACTGTGGCTGGGTAGGTAAGTTGGTGTTGATCTCGTAGTAATCCTGACTTGATATAATTTGAGTGTTGTTAAAATAATTACGCCGTTGCTATATGCATTTGTAGTGTAAGAAGAATCCTTTTCTCTTTTTTATTTAATGACAATACTTTTCTCTTTTTTATTTAATGACAAGATTATTTCTATAATGATGAAATATTATCGCCATTCTAGACCATAACATGCTACTAATAAGTGAATACTACAAGCATTATTATTGCATACACTAAGTAAAATATCAGTTTTATCAAAATCATTTTATTTTAAATGCAGCTGTAGTTTGTTCTTTTTTTCTTTTTTTGTAGTAAATGGATATATAGTTTGGTCAACGGGCCAGCAGTATATACACTAATTTTATATCACATGTATGATACGACCCCCTTAAAATTACCTTCAAAATTAGGTCTTTAAAATGTGCATGATACGCGAGTATATACGGAATTTCACTTTATTTCGTTAATCCGCTTTCGCTCTGTTGTGTCTCAATCTAGTTTTGATGTATTTAAATACACAACTACAATATTATTGAGTAATTTCTTTTTTTTTTTTTTTTTTTTTTTTTTTGCTAATTTCCGATTAATCAACTGCTATATACTGGTCATGTATAAAATGTTAAAATTGTTTCTAAATCTTCGATTGAAAGATGCCTCTTTTCAATTGGACGGATGTGTTGATGTTTCTGGAAAAAAAACAATCGCAAAAATGTCGTCTGTTTCTTTTCGATCTGTTCTAGTCTTTCTTAATAACAAGACAAGTTTAAATGCTTCAGACAGATAATAAAAATCTGAAAAAAAAAATATTTTGTAGAAAGCCGAAAACTCTAAGACATGGCGAGTAATTTTTTTTTTTCTGTAATCCTCACAAGAACTATTACCATTCTAAGTGTTGAACTGACTCTTGAGCAAATTGAATGTTCTCAATAGACCGGGCAGTTTTTGGAATAAAGTGAAAAGTCTGTGAGGAACAAAAATGGAGAGTTTATGAAGAAATAAAGAAAGAATAGATTGAGAAAATGAAAGTAATCATTTAGGCGGAAAAATATGACGGGTTATGAAGGGCACAAGTGAATACATTTACAGTGGATAAAACAAATGATTTCAGCGATATATTCAATATGAACAGAAAGAATGAAAAAGAAAATTTTAAAAAAGTCAAGAAAAGTAAAATAAAAGAATAAATGCGGAGAAAAAAGAAAAAAAAGGTTCAGAAAAAAGAAGGTAAGTAAGAGAACGGAAAGGAATAAAAAGGAAAGAAATAATAAATGCGGAGAAAGAAAGAGTGAAAAAGAAAATGAAGGAAAAAGAAACGGAAAAATTAGAAATGAAATTAAAAAGAAAGTGTTTAGAAAGATCAAATGTGAAACGAAAAAAAATACCGCATTCTCTGATTGTCACAGGCGTCATTTCTTTCTTTTGAAAAAAAAAAAGAAAGAAAGAAAGAAAGAATAGCGAAATAAAAAGAACGAAAGAAAAAGAAACAAAGAATGAAGAAATAGAAAGAATAGAGAAATAATAAGAACGAAAGAAAAGCAATGAAATAATGAAGAAATAGAAAGAATGAATGAGAAAGAAAGAAAGAAAGAAAGAAAGAAAGAAAGAAAAAGGAGAAATAGAAAAAGAAAGAAAGAATCGGAAAATAATAAAAAAGAAAGAAAGAATGGAAAAATAATAAGAACAGAAGAAAAAAGAAAGAAAGAAAGAATCAGGAAATAGAAAGAAAGAAAAAAGAAAGAAAGAAAGAATCAGGAAATAGAAAGAAAAAAAAGAAAGAAAGAATGAATCAGGAAATAGAAAGAAAGAAAAAAGAAAGAAAGAATCAGGAAATAGAAAGAAAGAAGAAAGGAAGAATCAGGAAATTTTCTTCCTCCTGCCTCTTCTTATTTCGTATTCTTTTTCTTTTTCACTTTCTTCCTGTTCTTCCTTGTTCTTCTTGTCCCTTTCTTACTACTTATCATTCTAGAGTGCACGTCGTCGTCTCTGGTGGATAGACAGTGGACACCATTGGATCTGATGTCAACATGGTCAGTCAGCCAGAAGTGACACTTGTGAAGTGCAAGGGTTGAGGGAGGAAAGGTTTCAAGTAAGAAATAAAGGTCACACAGTACCAGAATTGTACCTCCTTGATTCCACACACACACGCACACACACACACACACACTCACACACACACACACACATGTATATGTGTGTATATGCATAATCAAATTATCTGTAATCCAGAGGTTTTATATTTTATCTTTGTTGAAAGATATGAACAAGAAAAGAGAAAGATTCAAAGTCGGAAGAGGAGAAAATGAACAAGGAAAAAACATGAAATACAAAGAAAAGAAAGACTAGAGATATAGAAGAGCCAAAGAAAGAAAGAAAGAAAGAAAGAAAGAAAGAAAGAAAGAAAGAAAGAAAGAAAGGAAAAAATAATAAGAAAGAAAGAAAGAAAGAAAGAAAGAAAGAAAGAAAGAAAGAAAGAAAGAAAGAATTGGAAAATAATAAGAAAGAAAGAAAGAAAGAAAGAAAGAAAGAATTGGAAAACAATAAGAAAGAAAAGAAAGAAAGAAAGAAAGAAAGAAAGAAAGAAAGAAAGAAAGAAAGAAGCGATAAAAAAATGGAAGAACGAAAGTTACCAAAATGTAGAAAGAAATAAAAAGAATGTGATGAGAAAGAAAGAAAGAAAGAAAAGGAAGAAAGAAAAAAAAAATCAAAGAAAGAAAAAATTGAAAAAAAGAAAGAAAGAAAAGAAGAAAGAAAAAAAAAGAAAGAAATATAAATAATAAGAAAGAAAGAAAGAAAAAAAAAAAAAAAGAAAGAAAGAAAGAAAGAAAAGAGAATTTTTTTGAAAACAAAAAAGAAAGAAAGAAAGAAAAGAAAGAATTGAAAATAAAAAGAAAGAAAAAAAGAAAGAAAGAAAGAAAGAAATAAAAAAAATGGAAGAAATAAAAGAAACAAAATGTAGAAAAGAAATAAAAAGAATGTGATAAGAAAGAAAAAGAAAGAAAGAAAGAAAGAAAAAAGAAAAAAAAAGAAAAAAGAAAAAAAAAAACAAAAAAAAAGAAAGAAAGAAAGAAAGAAAAATAAAAATAAAAAAAGAAAGAAAACGAAAGAAAGAAAAGAAAGAAAGAAATAAAAGAAAAAAAAATAATTTTTTGAAAAAAATAAAGAAAGGAAAAGAAAAAAAGAAAAAAAAAGAAGGAAATCTTAAACAATGAAAAGAAAGAAAGAAAGAAAGAAAGAAAGAAAGAAAGAAAATGGCTAATCTGGTAGAAAATCAAATGAAAAGGACAAGATTAGAATGAAAGAATAAAACTAGAATACAGAAAGATAAATGGAAGCAAAAAAAAAAATTTAAAAAGTTAGAAGAGGATATAATAATTTTTTTATTCGAAATAAGTAAAAAAATAAAAAAAAATAGAAAAATAAAAGACTAAAGAAGAAAAAAATTAAATATGAGAAAAACATTAAAAATCAAATGAATATAGACAAAAAAAAGAAACAAGGAAGAAAAAGAAACACGAAGAAAACAATGAAGAAAAAAAGAAAACAAACGAAAGAAAAGAACAAGAAAAATATTTTGAATGAATCAAGTCAAATAATTAAGTAGCAAAAGAAATCAAGAGAGAAAAAACTCTATCGACAAAAGATACAACTTATCCATACGTTTCATCACTGTCTCAACTTGTTTTTCATTAAAAACCCACATTTTAAATGCTGTTTAAAATTCACAAGATTTAGTAGTCTTTTTTTCACTGTGAAAGAACCTTCAGTGCGTAAATAAATCATGGTCCTCCACATTTCAGTTCCTTGTAGTTCTTTATATGTTTTTATTTTTTTTTTTCTTCCAAACCCCCATGTCAAACTTCAAGATTATCAAAAAATATTAGGCGGTGCCAAAATGGACTATTTCCTTCTTTCTGTCCTGTGAGTATCAGATTTTCTAAGCCCTCTTTCCTCATTATGTGCCCCAGAAATTTCAACTGCCTTTTCCTGGTGTTAAGAATGTTTCCCTCTTGTTTCCATTTTCTCCAAAACCTCGTCCTTGCTCATCTGTTCGGTCCACGATATCCTCAGCATCTTTCTGCAGAACCTCTTTCTGTTGCTCTTAGTCTCTTCCTCATCTTTGAGGAGATTGTCCAGCATTCAATGCCATACATGAGGACAGATATCAAGTAACAGTTCAGTACGCTTTTCTTTTTATTGTCTCTTAATACTTTATCTGTCTATATTCCTGAGATTTTTTTTCATCTCCTCAATTTTTTTTTTTTTTAACCATAGCATTCAAAAAGCATTGAACATCACAAATTTTTGGCTCAAGTCAAATTGAAAAAAAAATGAAATTGATTTTAACTTAACCTTTTGAGTTGTATTCTTCAATCTTTTCTACCGCAGTAATAATGAACAAAAACATGGAGAGTTTTTTTGATGGACTCAATAACTTCAATACTTCCGGAAGAGGTTATGGCAATGAACTCGAACAATTTACGCCAGTGGACGAAATAAAGAGTTCACTTCGAAATTTAATAACCTGAAGAAGATTCCTTTAAAAATACAATTGGCCGTAAATGTCATGAATATGGAAATAAAAATGAGGACAACAATCCGAACAATGTAAATAATGAAAATAGTTTCGATACCTCATGTCAGAAATATAGACAGATCCTGATGAAGGCATCCTTTTAGAACATAATGAAACGTTGAAACAATATAATAATAAAGATGAAGACAACAGTTCGAAAAATGTAAATTATCTAAATAAATTACAATATTTCATAGCATAAATATAGATGACATCCTGGTTTAACAAAGTGGAAAATAATAGCAATGATAAACTCAATATGGCAAATAATAGGACAACCGTCCGAATACCGTAAATAATGTTAATAGTTACAATACCTCGAAGAAAATATAGACAGATCCTGAAAAAAGGACGGAGCGTACAACTGCTGAAACGTGAAAACAAGGCAATAAAGATATCTTTCTAGTTTATAACTTAAAAATGATTTTTTTTTGAATTTTCCTTCGCTACCTTCTGTCGGAGTTTTTGTAGTTTCCTTTCCGTGTTAGCTATCAGCACTGTGTCATCGGCATCAGTACTCTACCGGGAAATCATTCAGCGCAGACCAGGCTTTTCATAATCCATCCTTTTTCTTTAGATGTGAAAATGTTCCCAAAGAATCGTCCACGAGGCTTAGCGCTAACGAACGTGGCCCTAAACTATGAATTTTTTTTTTTCTTTTTTAGAAGGCATCTAAAAATACTTCAAAAAGGAAAAAAAATGGAATCAGAATCCATTCAAATTATGAAAATTCGTTAACGACTAAATCACGCCGTGCTTTACTTAAAGTTTCGGTTTGTTTAATGGATCAGTTTGAAACATATCGACCTTTGGGAAATAACGCCCCTCAACCCTGAAATTTTTTTATGGAATCAGGGCACTGACAGATATGAAAATGGTATAAACATTTACAGTGATTCACGCGTGTGGATCTGAATATTGCTTGTTTACACACCTCCCCGGTATTTTGAACAGGAGTAGAGGTTTATCCCTTGTTTCCTGTTTAGAATAGGGTTTCTAAAGTTTCTTCAGCTCTTTATTCCTAAAATCTGCGCCTGGACACTGAATTTTTATTCACTATTTATTTCATTTTATTTTTTTTCTTTCCTCCACCAATATGAGTAGATAGGTTCGTCTAACGCCCGGTTCATACTCCTCACCTGTATTTTGAACAGGAGTAGAGGTTTATCCCTTATTTCCTGTTTAGAATAGGGTTTCCGGTTCCCGTCTCTTTCAACTCTATACTTTTACTTTATTTTAACGTCTCTACCTAATTTCTGAAATTGTATTTATTAATTTTTTTTCATCAGTAGGCGTAGATAAGTTCTCTTATCGTCCCGTTCACAAAAGAAAGATGATCTTTTGAACAGGATTATAGGTTTGTCCCTTGTCTTTTGTTTAGAATTTAATTTCCGGTTCCTTTATAAAAAAAAAAGTTATTCTCTTTTTAATCCAGTAAGATTTTGTCTTAGTGGCATTATCGCCTTATATTTGGGCAAATTGATTTTTTTTTATTACCATTCGTCCAGCATTGAATAGAAACTAAGATTTCACAAGAAATTTCTAACTCCCTAGTTATTAGACTCCCTCTGACTTTTTTTTCACTAATTTTTCACAGGGTACAAGGCCATTAAATTAGAGAGGATTACTGAATCAGGTAGTTGTATAAAAGCAAAAGATGTTCAGATGATATTTAGGATATTGTTGTGGCCTTGTTATGACCAGAAATAAAGACACAAAGAGAGGAATTGAGTTAAGCAAATATATTAACAGAAACAGTAATACAAAACATTTATAAACGAGAGTGTTACGGCAAGAATGTTCGGTCCGACTGTCAGAGCTGACTGCTGGAAACTTCCCCCTCGAAAAAGGCAGTACCTGCTCCTATTTATAGATGGTAGAGTCCATGCGTGCGTGGGTAAATTACCACAGCAGATATATAGTTAGGCACGAGGTGGTATTCAATCCATGACTGAGGGTGAAAAGATGGCTTAAAACCTTTTCCAAGAGTACTACAGAGACCGTGAACGCAACAAACTAGTACGGAATTTGAACTCGGATCGTCGATTTCACTTTCAACGTCGACTGCACCACCCGCACGTCACTAGGAACTCCAAAGAATCTGTTGGTGATGATGAAAATGAGTTGGAATTTTTCAGTAAACATAATGAGGAAGGAAGGGGAGATATATTTACATTGTTCAGACTGTTGTCCTTATCTTTATTGTCATATTCCGATGGATAAAGGTACCTTCAACGAAAATCAAATGATATATTTTAGAATTTCGAACCGAACACTTTTATTTCATCCACTGGGGTAGATCATTTAGTTCCACGTATTCAAAATTTTGGATATCTCAGTCTCATTTATTTCCCTTTTTTGGTTCACCTCTGCTGTGGCCAGGTATTGAACTCACAACTCTTTGGGTCAATTCACTGAATTACTTCAACCAATGCTTTTATCCACTGAGCCATGGGACATTGAGTTTGTTACTAAAGAGAAATAACTGAAATTAAGATATCCAGAAAAGGTATGGCACGTGGAACTAGAATAATCTATAAATGTTGGCGAAATAAAGGTTTCGGTTTGAAATTTCATCGTATATCACCTGAAGAAGGCGGAGTGTACAACGGTCGAAACGTCGTGAATATGACAATAAAGGTGATTTATCTATCCAAATTTAGATATCTGTATCTCCTTCCTTCCTTCCTTTTGGATGTTTTATTATGAAAATTTTTCTTTTTTTGACATTATCATTCAAAATATTTTGGAGTTCCAAAGATGAAGACAACAGTCGGATTAATGTAAATATATGTAAATGTTACAATACCTTCATCAAATTCATATAGATCAATGTTTTTAAAGAAGAATAAAAGTTTAACACCAAAATCGAATCGAGTAAAGCAAATGGGGTTTGTTGGGGAAATCTATTTGCCGGATGAACATGGTGGAACAATTGAAAATCATAGCATTAAACCAAAAATAGATAAAAAAATGCATTCCAAAAACTCTCTAAATTTGCTTTTTTCAAAAAATTTCAAAAACACAAATTTCTTTATTGTACAAAAAAGTATTGGCAGATATACTGTTATATAGGCATTGGTTGGTGCATTAATTCTGGCTTTTATGCAGAAACCAAATTGTATTCAAAAAAAAACAAATTCCGCGCAAGTTTATTTTGGAAGCAAAATAATATCTCATTTGTATTTGGACCGATATAGAAAGAAAAAGTTTAAAAATAAAATGGTATTTGATCTTTTTTAGTTGCTGAAAATTCCCAAAAATTGGTTATTCTTGTATGCTAGACAGATTTTGACAAAAATATTATAGCTTTTAAAATACAACTTAAAAAAAAAATAAATTTTTATACTGCCTTTATAGGAATTTCATATATAAAATTCTTTAAATTTAATGATAAAGGATCAGTTTAAAATTTTCTGGAGTTCATAAAGTACCATTGGTCATTTCTAGTATATTTTGATCCTAGCAGTAAAATAAAACAAATTGGTCAACCCGTGGTAATAGAAAGTAGATTTAAAAGTTTTATGTCCATCAAATATGGATCTAAATCTTAATATAAAATCTGATAGATATAATCAAATGGATAGTAAGAATGACACGTCTTAAATATTAAAATGATGAATTTAAAAAAATGAAAAAACACTTAATAAGAAAAAGAAATGATGACAAATATACAATTTTATAAAGGATTGTCTATACAACGAAATATATATATTATGCATAAACAAAATTTGAAAATAAAAAGATCATTTTTGAAAATAATAAACCTTTCAAAAAAAAGGTGAAATTTATTATTATACAGTAAACACACTATAGCAATTTTGTTTTTTTCCTGATTAAAAAAAAAAATGTAAATAAACATTTTTAATAGAAAAAAGAATTTTGAAAATGGTTTAAAAAAAAGGGGTGCCGTTGAAATTTTTATTTATTATAGGTTTCATTTTCCTATAAATTCAGATCATTTTTTTTCGCATCTTGTCAGTTCTGATTTTTTATAATATCATATTTGAAAATCAAAAGAATCCTTTTAGCCTAATTTGAACCTCTGCATCATCTTTTTGTAAGGAAAAAGAATTTAACAAGTCTTTTGCAAGAATTTCAAAAAAGAAAAACATTTTTGGTATTTCTCTTGAACAACCACAAGGTGAATTTTTATATTGTATGAATATTTAAAAAAAAAATCTGAATTTTTTTGATTCAAAGAAGACAAGTTTTTTTTCAAAGGATTTATAACCAAAAATCGTATGTTTTTTAAGTGAATATCGATTCCTATTCTGCTTTTGAGAATTAATAGAGATGGAAAAATCACATGAAATTTAAAGGAGAAAATGAATGAAATTAACTGATTGAATTATTAGCCAGACTTCTGTGAGTTTCATGGAAAAAAATTTTCAGAAAAATTCACATTTTAAATTGGCCTATATATATATTGATATAAATATATAGAAAGAGATATATATAATTGTAATACCAGTTGGGAAATCTTATTTATAGGTTATAACCAAAGCGCTAAAAAGGAACAAACCAATGTAAACTTTTTGCAACGAAAGAACACTTGTTCATATTTATTCAATCGCTTTATGGAAAGTACGTCAGATCATAATGGCAAAAAAACGTCCAAATAAAGATGATAAATTTATTTAATATTCAGTAAATTTTTAGAATGTTTATAACAAGCAAATCCTTTAACAACGTTTTTTACATCAAAAAGGATTAAAATACTTAGTATATATGCCTATGCATTACATATATATTTATAAATATATAAAAATTTCTGAAATGGACCTAAAACCAGAAATAAAAATCTTATTAACATGTCGTTTTTTATTTTAATAGAAATTATTTAATTTAAAAAAAAAAGATCAAAAAAAAATTCTGTCACCAAGTTTAAAGGCCGAGCGTTATGCATGAAAATAATATTCCCATTTTGAAATAGTATTTATATTAAAGAAAAAGAGTTAAATTTTATTTAACTCCTAAAATTAAATTTCTCCATATATATCTTATATGAGTGACGTATATAAGATTTTATATAAATATATAAAAGAAAAGATACAATTCTATAGTTATGATTTAAAAATAATCCAAAAAATAGAATTTAAATCATTAATAATGAATATCATTTTTTAATATGAATTTAAATTTGGCTAAATATAAAATTGTTTGTTTTTGGAAATACGAAAGAAGAGTATTGGGACCAATAAAAGGAATGAAATTTATTAATAATTAGGTTTTAATATATAAATTATTTATTTATATATAAATATATCTTCTGTCTAAAAACAAGATATATATGAACTTATCCATTCCATAGATGGTAATAGAAGGTTTTTTTTTTATTCAAAAACAGCCAAGCACTTCTTTTTTTTTTTAAGAACAATGTCATGAAAATTATTGGAAATCACAAATTTGATTTTTAAAAAACATTTATTTACAAAATGCCCAAAATTTCTTTTTATCTCCCTTCATTGAAAATGTATTTGTTTTCAAAGATGATAAAATGAAAAAATTTTGATTTTGAAAGTTAATGGTTAATTATTGATTTTCTGTTTTGTCAAAAACAATTAATTTTTTAAATGATTAGAGTTGAGTGTATATTCAAGTTTTTTGGTAACAGATGAACAGAGAAGATTAAAATAATTAAAAACCAGAATTTACAATAAAAGTGTGTCAGGATACTTTAAATCAAAAATTATCAAAAAAACCAATAATTTTCAAAATAACATTATAAATTTTTTTTAAAAGGCATAATCAAAAATAAATGAAAAAAATGGCAATAAAACTCGAACAAATTTGGGCAGTTGAAAATTTTGGAGAAAATTGCCGTTTTCTATCTGAAAAAGAAAAGGAAAATGATCCTTTTGTTAAAAAAAAAAAATGGATTGATGAACAAATGTTTTAAATTTGTGGTATAAGACTTTTAAGTTAAATAATTGAAATAAATTGTCTAGGAAGAATTTCTGAAAGAATCATTTGTTACAAAATTTAATTTTATTCTGAATTTTGTTCTCATCTTTGTCGTGTCATATAAAACTAAAAGGTTTTTTATAAAAATAACTTTTTCAAAGAAAACAAAGAAATAATAAACTGAATAAAGAACTTATCAAAGAAAAATCATGAGGAAAAAAAATGCCAAACAAACAATCCTTTTTCTTTTAAAGTTATTAAGATGAGAGATAAAAGGTATATTAAAAAATTCCCAATTTCATCCACTGAAAGATTAAAAAAAATGGGTTTGGTATTTATGTATTAGAATGACCCTAATCACCAAATTTAATTTTAAGTTTAAAACTTAAAAGAAATAAAGAAAAAGATTTAAAAAAATCAGGAAAAAAAAAAGAAAAGAAAAAAGAGAAAAGAAAAAAGAAAAGAAAAAGAGAAGAGAAAAAAAATAAGCAAAAAAAGAGAAAAGGAAAAAAAAAAAAAAGAATAAAGAAATTTATAAAAAAAAAAGAGAAAATAAAGAAAAAGAAAAAAAAAGTCAAAGAAAAAATGAGAAAGAGAAAAAAAAAAAAAAAGGTAGAAAAAAAGAAAGAAAAAGAAAAGAAAGGAAAAGAAAAAGAAAGGATGAAAAAAAAGAAAGAAAAAGAAAAAAGAGAAAAAGAAAAAAGAGAAAGAAAAAAGAGAAAAGAAAAAGAAAAAAGAGAAAAAAAGAAAAGAGAAAAGAAAAAAGAGAAAAAAAAAAGAAAAAAAAAAAAGAGAAAAGAAAAAAGAAAAGAAAAAAAGAAAAAAAAAAAAGAGAAAAAAAAAAAATAAAAAGAAAAAAAGAGAAAAGAAAAAGAGAAAAAAAAGAGAAAAAGAAAGAAAAAGAGAAAAAAAAAAAAAAAAGAAAAAAAAAAGAGAAAAAAAAAAAGAGAAAAGAAAAAAAGAGAAAAAGAAAAAAGAGAAAGAAAAAAGAAAAAGAAAAAAGAAAAAGAAAAAAAGAAAAAGAAAAAGAAAGAAAAAGAAAAGAAAAAAAAAGAAAAAAAAAGAAAAGAGAAAAAAGAAAAAGAAAGAAAAGAAAAGAAAGAAAAAGAGAAAAAAAAGAAAAAGAAGAAAAGAAAAAAAAGAAAGAAAAAAGAGAAAGAAAGAAAAAAGAGAAAAGAAAAAAGAAAAGAAAAGAAAGAAAAGGGGAAAGAAAGAAAAGAAAAAAGAAAGAAAAAAGAAAGAGAAAAAGAAAAGAAAGAAAATGAAAAGAAAGAAAAAAGAAAAAGAAAAGAAAAAGAAAGAAAAAGAAAAGAGAAAAAGAGAAAAAAAGAAAAAGAAAAGTCAAAAAAAAAAGCAAAAAGAAAAGAGAAAAGAAAGAGAAAAGAGAAAAAGAAAAGAAAAGAAATTAGATAAAAGAAAGAAAAAAAAAAAGAGAAAAAAAAAAGAGAAAAAGAAAATTTTTAAAAAAAAGAGATGTTTAGAAAAAGAAAAAGGAAAAGAAAAAGAAAAAATAATAAATTTTTATATATTTTTGTTGTTTTTGAATTTATGAAAACAAATTTAATGAACAAGAGTCAGATTCTTTGAAAAAAGGTTTTGGCAAAAGAACATATAGAAAAAAGAAAATAAAAAAAGACAAAAGGGAAAAAAAAAGAAAAGAGAAAATTATTAAAAAGATTCAAAGAGAAAAGAAAAAAAAGAAAATCCCAAAAAAGGTTGGATACAAAAAAAATAAAAATAAATCATTTAAAACTACTTTTTGACATTTTTTTTCTAAGCAATTGCCTAATAACAAAAATCAACTTTAACTTTTTTACAACATGCCCCATGAAACCCAAATGAAAATGATTCTGCACAAACAGATTCAAACAAAAACATTGTATCTTAAGTAGAAAATAGCTTAAATCCAAGATTTGTTTTTTAAGTCAATCAGTTCATTTTGTAAAAAACAATTTGTCATATCTGGTCTGGTGTTGCCAGAAACGAACATTTTTAAATGCAAAATGGCAAGTAATAAATTTTATTAAAAATTGTCAATTTCATCGTTTATTGGTAGTAAACAAATCATTTTATCAGTCTGAAAAAGGTTTTTTGGCTATTCATAACCCATAGATTTTGATATGATTGTACAAATAAATTTGTTGAAAGATGAGAACTATCAAAATGGAATTTCTGAATAGTGGTGACACTAAAGCAATCCTGTACATATCAGCCGATGCAACACTTGAGACATTCAAATTTATATTTGAATATTACTGAATATATAAAAACAATGCATTGATGGCATGTTCTTAACAAAAGTTCATTATCAACCCCTGTTTTTTGTAGATATATAAAACACAACCCATTAAAAAAAAAAAAAAAAGGTATATGCCAACAAATAACATGGAGAGCTCTAAAGAAATGAGTTTCATCTGAAAAAAACAGAGATTTCGACTAAAATACATACTAATTAACTATTCAGTTTATTTAAAAAGGAAAAATATTTTATAACTGACTTTCTTCTTTTTTTGTTTTATCACCATTTATTCTACAATTTTTCAAAATGTCTAAGATTCTAAAAAATTTGTGTTTGTCTTGAACAAAGAAAATTAAAAAGGATTTTTTTCAGAAAAAAATTTTAAAAAAAAAAGAATAAAATTATAAAAACCTTTAAAATATCTGCTAATGTTTTAAAAATTTAAAATAAACTAGACATTTATTTAGATAACTGAGTAATATATTTGAAATTAATAAAATGCCCAACAAACAGAACTGACAAAAGTTGATAGATAAATCAATGGCTAAAAAGAAAAGAACAAACAAAAATAACACTGAATCAAGCAAATTTTATGCAACACAAAACAACAAAGTTCATAAAATAAAGAACTAATTCTATTTCTAAAACAAAAAATTAAATGAAAAAGATTTCATTCTGGATTAAAGACAAGAAAGAATAGAATCCAAGTCCAAGATGACAGAGCAGGAAGTGGCTTATCTTATCGTCTCCAAAAGAATTTGAGAATGAATTAGTGAATTGAATACAAAGAGAAAGGTCACTTTTGGCCATGTGTATTAAAATCAAATAGCTTTTTTTTTTTTTTTGAATACATTTCCTTTAACATTCAATTGAACTTTTACGCCTCTCAATTTTCAAAAAAAAAAAATTTCATCTGAAAAAAAATATCCTCATCTTTGCTATTGTTTTTAAACACATTTGAGAAGAACC